CCTGGCTCCCGGCCGCGGTGCGCCGTGTCTGGAGCGGAGCACGCGTTGTCAGCTGGTGAGCGCAGCGGCCTTTCAGGCGGCTCCCCAGGGAGCTGCGCGCCCGCGGTGAGCTCCGTCGTCACCCCCTCCCCTCCATCATCATCATCCTCGGCCTCCTCCTCCTCGACGGCCCCCCCCACCCCGGCCGAGCACAACAGCCAGCATTCAAGCCCCCCTTCCTTCCCTCCCTCCCTCCCCTCGCACAACAGCAGCGCAGTGGCAGCCACGCCACCTCCCAGCAACCAGCAGCACGCGAGGGCACCGCCGGGGCACCTGAAAGAGTCAAAGCCAAAGAAAGGGAGACAAAGGAGGAGAAAAGGATACGCAGGAACGGCCCAGCGTGGCTGCTCCGACAGCGCGGAGGGGCAGGCGCCCACAGAGGGACGGGCGAGCCCACGCGAAGGCCGGCACGCACGGGCGCGCACACGCGTGCACACGCTCGCAGGGGTCCGAGCGGCTGCAGCAGGGATGGAGACACGCAGCCGCCCCCCGCTTCCCACCGCGCAGGAGCAGGGGGGAAGCGCGCTGGCTCCTCTCCGCCCCACAGCCCCGTCCCCGCGTGGGGCAGTTCCCGGCTCGGGCTCCGCTGTGCACCCCCGACACGGGTGGCCCCACCTCTGACACCGCTACCCACCGGCACCCGGCGGAAGCCGTCCTTGGGTCCGGCCACCTGCCGTCGCATCTGCCCGGGACCTGCCAGTCCCGGAGAGAAAAATGCGGGGAAAGGGGCGAGGGGGCGGCTTGTGCGGGGGTCAGGCGGGGGCCCTGCCAGCCCGGCGTGGGAAGCGTCCCCTCCGCGGGCAGCCCAGCCACGCAGCACCCAGGCCGGCGACAAGGGGCTTTGCCCGGGGGCCGGGTGTCCGCGGGGGCCGGGGCGCGCAGCCGGCAGCCCTCCCGGAGCTGGGGTCCGGCGCCGGAGAGCCATACGCTGCCCTGCCTAACTTCAGGCTGAGTCTCCCAAAGTCTTTTTTGCAGAGCTGCTGCACACACACCCCCACACCCCGCCACCCCAGGGAGTTAGGTGGGAGCGCGGCTCCGCTGCCGGCGCTGCCCGTGTGCGGTGAATGCGCTGCCTCTTTCGGCGCTGGCCATTTCCAGGCTGCCCCGGAGCGGGGAAGAGAGAGAGGCCCCTTCTGAAGTGCTATCGAATGGCACAGGATGCCTTCGGGAGCCAAGCCAAGGCGTGTCAAAGGCAGTTTGAGCGGCGAGGCGTTTAAACGCTACAATGGGTGGCTTTTCTGGCGTGTGCTTTTCTCCCTCCCCGCTTAGGACCGGGAGGAGGGAGAAGGAAGGCGTTTGGGTGCGACCCCCCCCAGCCCCCCCCAGCCCGGTACCGCAGCCGGGCGCTTCCCCGCGGGGCGACAGCGGCGGAGCGGCCGCCCCCGCCCCGTCCTGCAGCCGGGAGCGGGGAGCGCTCAGGTCCTTCTGCCGCTCCCCGCGGCTTTTCGCCCCCAGCTCGGTTTAACCGGGAATGCTCGCGGCGGGGAGGGGGGGTGCCGACCCGCCGCACCCTTTTCAGCACGGCGGGTAGCCGGGACTTGCGGTGGGAGCTTGTGCCGAGGCGGGGATGGG